CGTTTTGCATGTAGGGACCCGCATTATGTTACTGCGTTAGTGTGGGGCTATTTTGAGCCTTGTTAGTGGTATAAACTACAGTAGCGATTTCTTTTTACTTATTATATATATATATACACTCACCGGCCACTTTATTAGGTACACCTGTCCAACTGCTCGTTAACACTTAATTTCTAAGCAGCCAATCACATGGCGGCAACTCAGTGCATTTAGGCATGTAGACATGGTCAAGACAATCTCCTGCAGTTCAAACCGAGCATCAGTATGGGGACGAAAGGTGATTTGAGTGACTTTGAACGTGGCATGATTGTTGGTGCCAGAAGGGCTGGTCTGAGTATTTCAGAAACTGCTAATCTACTGGGATTTTCACGCACAACCATCTCTAGGGTTTACAGAGAATGGTCCGAAAAAGAAAAAACATCCAGTGAGCGGCAGTTCTGTGGGCGGAAATGCCTTGTTGATGCCAGAGGTCAGAGGAGAATGGCCAGACTGGTTCGAGCTGATAGAAGGGCAACAGTGACTCAAATAACCACCCGTTACAACCAAGGTGGGCAGAAGAGCATCTCTGAACGCACAGTACGTCGAACTTTGAGGCAGATGGGCTACAGCAGCAGAAGACCACACCGGGTGCCACTCCTTTCAGCTAAGAACAGGAAACTGAGGCTACAATTTGCACAAGCTCATCGAAATTGGACAATAGAAGATTGGAAAAACGTTGCCTGGTCTGATGAGTCTCGATTTCTGCTGCGACATTCGGATGGTAGGGTCAGAATTTGGCGTCTACAACATGAAAGCATGGATCCATCCTGCCTTGTATCAACGGTTCAGGCTGGTGGTGGTGGTGTCATGGTGTGGGGAATATTTTCTTGGCACTCTTTGGGCCCCTTGGTACCAATTGAGCATCGTTGCAACGCCACAGCCTACCTGAGTATTGTTGCTGACCATGTCCATCCCTTTATGACCACAATGTACCCAACTTCTGATAGCTACTTTCAGCAGGATAATGCGCCATGTCATAAAGCTGGAATCATCTCAGACTGGTTTCTTGTACATGACAATGAGTTCGCTGTACTCAAATGGCCTCCACAGTCACCAGATCTCAATCCAATAGAGCATCTTTGGGATGTGGTGGAACGGGAGATTCGCATCATGGATGTGCAGCCGACAAATCTGCGGCAACTGTGTGATGCCATCATGTCAATATGGACCAAACTCCCTGAGGAATGCTTCCAGCACCTTGTTGAATCTATGCCACGAAGAATTGAGGCAGTTCTGAAGGCAAAAGGGGGTCCAACCCGTTACTAGCATGGGGTACCTAATAAAGTGGCCGGTGAGTGTATATATATATATATATATATATACTAGCGTTATACGCTAAACAGTTTTAGAGATAAAACTCTTTACATTTGATTATCATGAAAACAAATATCAGAGAATGGTCGACTAGGTACCGATGTTTTATCAGGCCAAAGTTTAATTTTTGAGTTCTCATTTAGGGATTTTTTTTTCTAAATTTACTTTAAGAGGTAAGAAAATACATTTCAGTGACTCGTTATGCTCAGCAGTTTTATCTAAAGCTCAGTCGACGGAGGTGTAGTGTTTTTCTTCAGCTTGGAAAAGCTACTTCACAGAGTGGCTCTTGCAGTGTTGCCACTTCCACTTATTAAGGGTTTTAAAGTGAGCAAGTGCAGGGCATTTTGGTCTTATTTTTAACATTAAGCAATCATTTGAATTTATTTCAATTTATTGAGGGCTTGTTCTTGTTCTTCTAGCTAGATCTGGCAACAAGAATGAGTTAAGGCTTGTACTGCTTACCCTGCGATTTCTTGCATCACACATAGAGAGAAACATTTGATGCAAGTTAATACACATTGAACTACTTCATTAAAGCTACACAGTGTAACTATTTTAGTTTATTCTTAGCTAAAAACACTTAGTTCTTTCAAAAATATATGTGCTCATTAATGTATATTTACTTCGTTCAAGTAATAAAGTATTCTCGTGAGTCGGTGAGTGTATAATATGCCATTGAAAATAGATACGGGTAAGGTATGTTGCCCCTCCATCTTGAAAGTACATTAGCCAAAGAGGGACATACCCGTTAATTCAAGCTTCGCCTTTCGCGTTTACGTTTGAGTTAACATTCATGGACGAGGTAAACTAGAAAGCCATGTTAATCTTGGACTACATTGGCCACCGTAGGAGTTAAAACAAAATCGGAATTGAGAGGAACAGAAACTAATATTCACTGGATGCTCATATACTTTTTCACCGCTAGATGGGGTAAAAATCACACAGTGTAGCTTTAACAATTAGTTAGTTCGGTTCCGTACACAGTACACACTGCGTAGGATTTGTGTAAATGTGGTTGTCACTACTGGAGTTAATTCGGTTGTAGAATGCGGTTGTCACTCCCATAAAATACTGAACTGTGTGTGAACAGAAGGATTAAGCACTAACAGGTGAAGTGACAACCACATTTAGTTGCAGTGTGTAGGCTACGTGGCAGAGTTGTCATCACTAATACAGAAAAACATCTAATACAGAAAAAAACAATGTATGTAGAAATGTGTTGTTAGCATTTTATGTCATGACCTCAAAGCTTCCAGCAAATATCAGTCATCATCATTAAGAGCTGGATTTCTCTCAGCCCCCACCTGCCGCACCACACACACACACAACACACACACGCCCTGCCCACAGGCAACTTTAACCATGCAGCTCACAGCCACTCTTTCACATTTCCAACTGATCAGTGTTTCCACACAGAGTGGTCATAAACAGTTTAGCTTAACTTTTTAATACCATAAAAATACCTAATGAACATGCTGTGAGTCACTTTACTTTCTCAAACTGTCAAAACTGCCAACTGCATACATTCTTTTCCTTTAATGTATGCAGTCTGCTTCTGTTGTGTTGGTGATCCTCAATCTTTACTCTGATCACATTGCTTTTCAGAGCCTTTTGGTTCATTTATAGTTTGAGAGATGAATCCCAAAAACCTGATAATTGTGTAATCTGCACTTTCCTGTCTAAAACCTAAAGAGGACGAAAAATGAAACTAGTGCAAGTGTACACAACAACCACCTAAATTCATGTGAGCTAAATTAACAATCATTGAGCAAATTAGATTGTTAATCTGTCAAATAATCTACAGCTATTTCAGAAGTGTTGGTTTATAAATTCAGATTAAGCCACAGATTAGTAGTTTAGAAGGCAGTGACTCTTGCCAACAGCAGCAGGAATTTCTTGCCAGTCCTCATCTGTAGTCGGTGATGGCTTTACTTCCTTTAATATACACCTTTAACTATAATTACAGACTTTATGATCTATAATCAAATCAAATCAGGCTGCTATTCAGTCTCTCTAACATCATCTGTTCTGAAAGTGAGATGATATATCACTTAAATCAGCATGCTTATTGAAGATGAAATACAAAACAAACTTTCATTTCTATTTTGTCCCAGGATTAAACTGGTTCTGTGGCAGGTGAAACAGGAAAAAAAAAAAAAAAACGAAACAAAAACTAAAATGTCTAGCCTGGTGATTAAAAATCGTCTGTCCAACTGAACCCATTAATCCTGTGAAGCTATTTTGCTTTATTCATTTGATCATAAATTAATTTGAACAGTACTAGGTGTAGTGGAAGGTGGCATTAACATGTAGACGCATATCATAAATACTAATTAAATGTGCAGAAATGGTAGCTGGTTCATTATGGACAATGTTAGTTATTTTTAGATTATATGTTATTTGCTTCTATCCATGTAATCTGGAAAGAACAGATCACAGCATTATACAACAGATTAATTTATTTTACTTACTAAAACACCAGCATATGTGATTCATTAAATCTAAAAAAGCCCCGAACTTATACAGGAAGAAACCTGCTATTGAAATACAAGGACGTCTCATCCCAGTAAGCCAAAGGTGAGGGCCTAAACTAGTCAAGCAAAATCTCACCGCCTGAAAAAAAACAGAACCATGTGTCTATTTAACAACATGCTCTCTACATCAAATCAAACAAAGCTTCCCATCAAATGTGATTACGCAAGATGAAAATAAATGGGACTATAATGAACAACACTGCTGATTCTTGCCAGATTTTGCTTCTGTGTCCAAACCCTTGATTGTTCAACACAGACAAAGCCTCGGTAGAATTGTGTGAATAAAGAGTGTTTTGAATACTGCCTCAGTGGAAGGTAACTGGTCTTTAGCAAGTATAGAAATATAGCGTCTCTTGAGATGCGGTGATACACAGGCTGATCAGCACAATGCCGATTGAGCAGTGTTGTCAAACCGCTGACTGTCTTTCTACTGTGTTATGGCATGAGAACAATCCTGACACTACAACACAGTCCACAAATTCACAATTGTTTATGTCTAATAATATAAAATCAAGAGATTGTTTTTTTATGATTTGAGCCTATTTAGGACCATTTTTTTGTTTACATTTGATTCTTATTATATTCTCATAACAGTATTTTTCATTGAATAATTCTAATAAAGCTTTTCAGTAAAGCTTATCTTTATGAAAATTATAACTTCTTTACTTTGGATTTCGGTTGAAGTTTTGTGAGATTCAAACAAAGTAAGAATACATGAATCAAAATCGCATATATGAATTATGACATTTCTAACAATCATGACAATATCAAGTAGGCCTAACAAATTATCTGTTGACCATGTTTGTTAAAAGACAATGATAAGAAATGTTCTCTACCAAAAAATGTTATCAATCACTACTAACATGAAATTCCCCACTTTTCCCCAAAGGATTTTTAGTCTGCCAGCCTGGCAAAGCTGTTGTTGAGCTTGTTTAGTTGGTAACCTACAGCTGATCTAAGTTACCAGTCAGACCAGCTGAAAACTGACCAGGTTAACGAATACCAGTGAATGTGGTTGCAATGAGGGATTCCAGCATGGTGCTCATTCAAAAATGCCTATAAAAGATATTTGTGAGAAAAAAAGCATTAGAAAAGAGGCGGAAGGTCACTCACCTGTCGTTGAACATATGGTCCAGTTCTCCGGAACTGCAGAGAAACTCTTTATCTTTATTTCTCGTTTTGGACCTCCAGGTCGGGAAACGTTTCTTCTTCTTCTCGATGGGGCTGGTGGGCAGTGAGTCCGGGCATGAGGTGATATCTACAGGACTCGACGGTAAAGTCATAGACGAACCTCTGAAACTAGCGCGGTCGTCTTCGGGTGAGGTTCCCCACTGACCCTCAGTCCTGTCATCATCCCTGGTTTCCTTACCTAAACTCTTTGACTTCCTAAATAGCTTCCTAATTTTGGACTTTGATATGCTCATGGTTAAGTAGGCCTACGGCATAAAGTTTCCCTTTAGTCAAATGAAGGTGTTTAAACTGAAAGTTTGAAATGCGCACGCTTTGTTTGACGCGCGCTGGAGGTTTGGTGTTATATTCACGCGCTCCTGAAGCTCACACACAGCAAAGGAGCGTGCTGGGCGGAGCGCGCAGTTCATATTGAACTTCGTATTTACCTTGGTCTGAGCTGTAAAATTTAACAAAAGTAGATTTTAAAGATGAATATACTGGAACTGGATTATATAGACCCACAACTTGTTCTTCATTATCTATTGTCAATTTACAGAGCTTATTTTATTAAATCTAATCTCAGTTTGCTGTGTGTGAAGCAACTGTAATTTCTTTCGAATGGAAAGGGGTTATAGCGTCTTCTGGTGGCCAGATGTCTATGAAATCTGAAACTCACAACTTGTAATTAAATCATATCTTTTGTATTTATATGACAATTAAGTTAATATATAGACGTTCCTTGATGTTTTTTTAAATGTTACTGTAACTCTTTAAATAAAAATAAATTTTAATTAAAACATGAACAGTACTTCTATTAATCTGGTAACACTTAACAGTAAGGTTTATATCATTAACGTTTTAACTAACATAAACGAACAATGAGCAATACCTTTGTTAGAGTAAGCTCTTTATTATTATTTTTTAATGTTAGTTAATAAAAAATACAGCTGTTTATTGTTTGTTCATGTCAGTTCACAGTGCATTAACTACTGTTAACATATACAACCTTTGATTTTAATAATGTATTTGTAAATGTTGAAATTAATATGAACTAAATTAAAAATGTTTTGAAATATTTTTCATTCTTCTTAGTTTATGTTAACTAAAGTAGTTAACGAATTAACCATACTGTAAAGTATTTATGTTGATTTCAACATTCAAAAATACATATTTCAAATCTAAATTCGGATTTTAACATAAGTTAATCCACTGTGAACTAGCATGACCAATGAAAAATTGTATTTTATTTTATTAACATTTAAAAATAAATACTGTAATATGTTTATATTAGCTAATGATAAAGTTCTCAAAGGAGAGTTTATTGTAAAGTGTTAGCAATGTTCTAAACAAAACTTGTTTTCATTTTATTGTTTTTTCCTGTCTTCAGTTTCACTTTGTCTTTTGTAATATCCATTCGATAAAAGTCAGTGACTTTTTTTTTTTGGTGTAAGTTGGTTTGTCTCACTTTAAAATGCCCATCCTGTTAGATAAAATGACAAAAAACTACTGTAGCAGATTCTCATAATTCCCCCTCCCCCAATGCAAAAGCAATGGCTAAATTTAAATATATATCCATTCTAAAAAGGTTTTATATCTGTACTGCAGCCAAAATGTGTGGATATCCTAAACATTGGAAAGAAGGACTGAAATGGAAATGTCAGAAATCTGTTATGAAAGTGATGTACTAAATTCACATTGAGTCACTTCAAATTTGTCATAGCTGCCAGCAGTTTATTTAATGAGAGTGCGATGGCATATGGCAAACATGCAGTATTTTCATAATGTCAAACCTGTTCCTTGCACACACACACACAGACCCAATCAGAAACCTACAAAGAGCAACATTTTAACATTCAGTTACTCTGAATAGTCTGGAGGGAGCATCTCTCTCTCTCTCTCAAAAAAAAAAAATGCAATTTCTTTAAATGCACAAAGCTGAAAACAGATTTTAAAAAGGGGGCCCTGACCCAACTTTCTAATAACTTGCCAATGATCTCCATTAGAGAAGTCAAAGTGAAAGGATGGCAGACTGGAAAAATCCCTACATTTTCACTCAACCGTCCACTCCATTGATGGATCGGCATAAGCAGAGGAGTGGAAAAAGGAAACAAGCCCTCCTTCAACATAAACTTCCTGTTTTTTTTTTTTTTTTGTTCCCACCGGGCAGCAACTCACTCACTTCCAACCACGTTTTCTTTTTTGCTACCTTGAGGAAAGGTGTAAGGCCAGACGTGTCATTACAAGTATCATTCTATTACATTCAGTTCATGAATGTATAAACATTGCATGTTAATCCCCCCCTCAAAAAAACAATTCTCTTTCCCAAATAGAATTGAAAAAACAAGAAAACAAATGGCAACCAATTTCTTTCAATATTATCTTTCGTCAAATCAGAAACATCAAGTTTACACTCAACATTGTCTCAACATAAAATGCAGTATTTTACTCTGGGCCTTTAATCAAACTTGATAGACTAATCTGGTAAGATTTTTCTGTCTATATAACCATCCTTCATAACACCACATGTTAAAAACAATTCATCTTCTTTAAATGAGATGCCCCTTGTAAACCATTTCCTTAAAAAACAAAACAAAAATTTTTTTTGCTACTCTTCAAATTGTAAAGGACACTTCAAGTGAAGTAGTTCTACCTCTAGAGCTACACAGGCATTTCCCTTCATGTGTTTCGTGCCATGGGATGCAGTTATGATGGCGCGGCACTCTCAACATTAAATAACGAATCTAGAGTGAATAAGGCAGATCTATAGAATCTCTTCATGCATCTATAGTCTCTGTTAAAGAGGCTTTTCTTTCATCCAAAGGCCACAGGTGCTACGAATTTACTACATGGTATGAAAGGTGCCATTTCTGCAAACAACTGATGACTAATGTATATGATATGAACTTCATATTTGAGTATTGAACATCACAAGTCAATATGCACTTCATTGAAATCAGTAAAGCGTCTTTTGAGACATCGGTCGGTGTGTTCAGCGGGCTACACTGCTCTCTAAAACTCTGAAAATAAACACTGGAGCTTTCAACACTGTTCAAATGCATTTAGATACAAACAAAACAAAATACAAGCTTCGAAAAAGCATTGTTTTCATATTTTAAATCCATAATAAAACAAAAGGCTGGTGAACCCACTCTGTTATTGCTACATAGTGTGGGTGAGAAAAATAGATATGCGTGAGCCACATGCTCACACGCTGTTAGCCATCGATACAACTGAGAGTATCTGGCATTTTCTGCTTTAACACTTAAACTAGGACAAAGAAAAACAGCCTTTCGGCCACACCGAAATTGTATGATATGTCCTAAAGAGCTGTAACGGAGGACGGAGAAATCATGCATTGGGTATTTACTCTAAATAAAAGAGAAGGAAAAAAGGAGTCCATAAGCTTGTTTTTTTTTTCTCTTTCTCATGTGATGAAAATTAAACAGTCCCAGCGCAGGGAGGGGAGTGGAGGAGATTTTGAGCCATTATTTGACAAGCCGTTTTGCTACGTCAGCGTAGGCGATCTCAATCTCCTTGTCGCTGGGACATGTGTTGGTGAACTCCTCACGCTTGTAGGCATTGTTCAGGTATCTCCAGATGCCCGTCATGTCTTTAGGGATCTCAAAGCCTCTGTACTTCTTTGCCACCACCTGCAAACCAAAAGAGAGAAAATTAACTGGTAAATCCTTTGCTCATTTTGTCATGTATTATGGCACATACTGTAATAATCATACTAAAAGATCATTTAAAGCCCAAAACAATATTGTGAAATTCTCTTTAATCTGAGGTAGAGGTTGACCTGTTCGACAGGTTACCTTAACGATGTGGAGTTTGGGCAGCAGGTTGCAGTCAGCCAGAGTCATCTCTTTACCGTCTAGGAACATGCGCACAGAGGCCTTCACCTCCTCCATGCTGTTGTGGTCGATCTCGTCCGGTAGAGGAGAGCACAGGTACTCATCCAACTTCTGCAAGGTCTTCAGCAGTCCCCTTTCCAATGCTATATGTCGTCAACAACAATTAAGAGATGGTTAAGAAGACTTTTTAATGTTAATGCCAGAGATAAGCTTTTTTTTTTTTAAATAAAACATTCTTTAAAATGTTTGCCATTCACAGCAAGTGAACACTCAAAAAGAAATCTAAAGCACACGAAACTGACATCTCAGGTAGTCCACAGTGCGGTTGACTTCCAAGCAACAATTTTGTGTTTAAAAGACCCTGACGTCTAGCATAAACAAGGCAAAAATTTGGGCTGTCAGTGAAAATGTTATATATGTCTAACCATAGCCCAAGAATAGACACACAGGCTATGTGAAACATGTCAAAGAAATGAAACCAAACACCTTGTAATCACTGCCGACTTGCTTATATGACATACATCTCGTTAGTAATTTTGGCAAAAATGAAATGTAACTTCATTTTGATAATTGTATGCAAATTCAAGGTTATTTTGTCCAGAAGGTGAATTTATGACTATTGCTTGCTGGTTGTAACATGTATTGTGATTAATAAAAAAATACAACTTAATCATATAAATCAAATTTGTTCCTCTGATTTTCACCTTGCAGACAGACAGCCACTTTAAAGCTTTTTTTTTAAATCTGTGTTTGTTTTTCCAAATTGCAAAGACACAACAAAGAGACACAAAATATCCCAGTTCACAGTAAATTAACTAATTCACTTAATTTAATGACATAGCATTGTGTTGTAAAAAATGAAGGGCAAGTTTAAGAAATAAATATGAAAATGTAATATAATAACATAATTTAATTAACTAAATTATAAAAAAATAGGGCTGTCAAACGATTAATCGCGATTTATCACATCCAAAATAAAAGTTTGTGTTTACATAATAGATGTGGTTGCACTGTGTATAATTATTTCATATATATATATATATATAAATACACACACATGCTTGTATAGATTTTATTTTCATGTATATATATACTGTATATAGATTTATATATAATTTATATTATATATAAATATAAATATTTTATATATAAATAATATTTTTTTCTTAAATATACATGCATGTGTGTATATTTATATATATATATACAAAATAATTAAACACAGTACATATACCCACATATATTATGTAAACACAAACATTTATTCTGGATGCGATTAATCGCGATTAATCGTTTAACAGCCCTAAAAACCAAAAAAAAAAAACAAAAAAAAACAAAAAACAAAGGATGAATAGTGATCTGCCCTCTAGAGGGAGAAAGTTCCAAAAGAGAATTGCAGTGTTTGGTTGCACTTCTACTTAGCTGCCACATAAGGGCATTATTACACTCCAGTGAAAGCTGATCCTACTTCACATACACCTAATATCAGCAGGCCACTGTAACAGGTTACCTGTTAAGCTCTAAATCTTCAAAAGTGACTAACTAACTAACTAACTAAATGCAGACTAAAATACTATGGCATGTTCTGCTCTCCACGAGAGGTCTCCTAGCAATTTCTCCTGTCTGCTAGCACTGAGACAATGTTGACAGACTCCAGCTGGAATAGAGAGGCCGTTATCACCCACAGTCAACATTTCATAAGGGTGGAGACTCTTGAAGTTAGTTTATGTTCAGGGTCACTGCCAAATTGTTATTGAGCCAAAGAGTCATTGAGATTGTGCGACATTACACCAAGGCAAATTCCTAGCATATTATTCATTATGACAACAGTTCTACACCTTCTGATAAAAATGCAGCGGCTTTTACTTTGACCTAAAGTCAGTTTCATGTCAACAGTGTTTAGTTTGGAAGTTGACCTAACTATCAAATTGTGGCCCTGCCTACAGCACTAAAGTATGTAAATGAAACACTGGATCCAAGCCCTGCGTTATCTAAACTAGAGACACACACTGTTTACATGCAAAACATAAGACATGGCAACCATAACCAGGTCTAATCTATTAAACTAGAGCAATAGAAAGTATTTGTGTGGTTAAACTAAGCTTATCAAATGTGTGATCATTCCACCGACTGAACAATGTACATTTGTTAGTTTGTTTAGAGGTGAGAGAGAGTTAAATCATTCTGGTTACCCTCATTGGCATCAGGTTTGGAGTTCTTAATGAAGGCAGAGAACTTGGCAAATATATCCATCCCTGCAGTGTTGGATTCTGGGTGTCTTGCACCAAGTTTAGAGTACCTGAGTGCACAAACACACATAGAGGTAGAAGTCATATAAAACATTTTGACAGGTTGTTGACAGATGCAACACTTAAATACACAAACATACTCTCTCACTAACTTTGGAGGGCAGAGGACGTCCTCTAGGAACTCTTCGATCTTGTTGACATCTGTCTTGACCTCTCCATTATAGGTGATGAAGGGAGGGTGGGTTCCTGGGGCTAGATTCTGCAGATCAGCTGGTTTTCTACCACAAAGAAAAACATAAGTTCAACATTAATATGGCTATGTTCACACTGTCAGGTTGGCCCATTGAAACAAAACTTACAGTAGCATCTCAAATACTGTCTGTATGAACATGCAGCAGGAGTCAAGCCTGTATTCTCTTACCAGTAACCATAGCAAGGTCCATAAAACCGAAAAGTTAGCACTTTTGATATGTCAAATGCCCAATCAAGCAAATGAGTTCATCCATCAAATCTTCATTAACTACCAGCAGCTTTTATATCTTGGTGGAGAGTGGAACATTTACACCAAACTTACTGGAGCAGCTCCAGTGGAGAACAGTGACTGAAAATAACCGTGCTATGAGTGAATGGAACCATATTAAGGACTCAAATACAGGACTGGCAACCGTATTCTGTTGCTGTGTGAACGTGGCCTATGAATCTACTTCCCGTAACAATGAAATTATTTGTTTTCAAAGAGACTCTTCAGCACATCTCAACTATGTTCAGTCCATAAACCCTACGCAACTTTGCTCAAACAAATGTGAGATTAGACCAAAGCTATGGGAACTGTAGAAATGTTTTAGTATTTACCTGCAGCAGGAGGTCGGCAGAACCCAAGGACATTTAATGAATTGTTTTTCTTTAGAATACAAGGTGATAAGATCCCCTCAGGGGCTGCGTACAGTTCGGACAATAAAGGGGTTTTCCAGAGCACTCAGAACCCAACACACACTTAGCTTTGTATTAAACTAGTATTGGTAAATAGTTACTAAAGCTAACCCTAAAAGGAATACATTTGCCTTAAAAAACAACAATGTTCTACATTAATCATTTGTTTTCCCCAAACTAGGACGTCGTCCACTGATATCCACAAATGGAGACTGTGAAATATGAAAACACTTGAGTGTTCAGGAACAGAGGGGGGTTAGGTCTCATGAGGCCTTGAAGGCAGGAACACTCTGATCTTACCAACTGCAACAACAGGAAATGACCTCACACCTCTGGCATGAGCAGAAGGAGCACCCTATCCCTCGTGCTGGCACAAAGGAAAGGGTAAGAGAGAGGGTAAAACCAGCAGCTCGAAAGAAAGAACGACCAACCAGCAGAAAGGATTAGCCTAATTTCCACGTGCATTATCAAAAATGGCATTATCAAACAAAAGTGCAGAGGCCCATTGTACTGTATGTGTGTGTGTGTGTGTGTGTATGTATAACCCCAAATCAGAAAAAGTTGGGACACTTTGTAAAATGCAATAAAATCAAGAATCTGTGATTTATTCATTCTATTTAACCTTTTATTAGCTGACAAAAGTACAAAGAAACGTTTTCCAATGTTTTCACTGAATAACATAATTGTATTTTGTAAATATGAACAAATTTTGATGGCTGCAACACACCCCAAAAACTGTTGGGACAGAGACCAAATAAAAGTGAAAAGATTATCCAAATTAGATTATCCAACTATTTGGAAACAGTGCACAATGTGCAGGAGAATTAGTAATAGTTGAGGGTATCATGTTTGGGTGTAAAAGTGCTTCTCAGTCTTTTTAAGCAAAGATGGGTCATGACTCATGACTCATCACTTTGTGCCAAAAATCTTGAGAGAATTGTCAAACAATTAAAAAAAAATCACATCTCTCAATGCAAGATTGCAAAGTATTTATGCCTTTCATAATCTTCCATACATAATACGGTCACACGATTCAGGGATTCCAAAGAAATCTCAGTCTGTGTTGGGTAAGGCAGTAGACCTCTGTTGAATGTGCGTGAGCCCTCAGATGGCATTACACAAGATACCATCATGCTACTCTGTCAAATACAGCCACATGTGCTCAGGAACCATTTTGGAAATCAATCTGGTGCACTTTGAGAGCTCAAAATTAAGATCTTCAACCGGATTTAACCCATGAACTGTGCACATTGAACAAAGAAAAAGCATTGACTTGTACCTGGACATTAAAGAGGGCTCAAACATTTTTTTTAATTACATTATCATTGGTGTTTTTGGATGCCAAACAATTATTATAATAAACAAAGTTCTATAAAAACACGCACCTCTTAAGGTCCACAGTGGTTACATTGAAGACCACACCCTTTAGCCACAGGATCATAAAGAGACGCTGAGAAAATGGACAATTGCCGATGCTCTCTCCATCACTGCCCGCCTGAAAGAGAAAGAAAAATGTGTAAGTCGGACTTCAGAAAAACATATAAAATAACTCACCAAAACTGTCATTATTCCAATGAGTTGCTGAGCAGTGAACATTTTGCAATCACAGGGTCATTATTGTACAACTCTGTACCAGAGAAACCAACTAAACCACAACAAGAATTTTAACCGTTAAACAATCAGCTCCATGTTACTGAGATGTATTTGATAGGAAGACTCACTTTAAACCAGCTTCCAACACACAAAACCTACATTAAGAGCAGAGGGCAAACATGTTGTCCTTTTCCAGAATAAAAAAAAAAAAATGTGTTTTAACCCAGTGGATGGCAAGAGCTACAACATTCTAACGTAGTGCCCTTTCAATACCGAAGAGACCTTCCAAAACCTTCAAAGTCCTGATTATGTGCAGACAAACTTAACTATACAGGCTACATCTATGTATACTAGAGATGCACCAATGTATCGGCTGATTTGATTAATTCACATCCATTGGCATATAGGCTATAGAATGAAAAAGGTTGATCTAACAAACTGATGGTTTATTAATTAACTGCGTGAAGGCACAGAGTTGTATATGTCTGTTGCATTATCCAAGATTGTAATCTAATATTCCTCCTGCGTTGCATTTAAACACAAGAAAAGAAAAATCACTCACTAACCTTGACTAAATAACTTTTGTAAATTTTATAAGGATTAATGTATAGGGTTCTTCTATGATTTTCGCGATGCGGAAAAAGTGGACTGAATCCAGTCATTAAAACGAAATTGAAAAAGTCCATGACATTCCACATTATACAGTAAAAGTTGTAAAAAAGTTAAATATTAAGCGGCAAAAAGATTATTTTTATATGAATCCTGCACTGTGTGAATGAATTTCAGTGTGTGAATGTTTCATTCCCTCACAGTCACACACGACACTCACTGTATTTTCAGCCTCTGCTGCCTCACTATATGAGAACACGAATGCATGAACTTCATCTCCACTTTTACCATTTCATTTGACAAAGTCTATTGTCACGGTCATATCATAAACAGACAGAAACTCAAAGGTCTTCATGGCAATCCATCAAAATAAAGGTTCAGTTTAATTAATTGTGACAGAAATATATTACTGTTGGACAATATAATTTAGCTATGTCTTAATGTAATAGAGTATGTATTTAATTTATACAGTGAAGAGAATATGCAGTATTATGTTACATTTGTTTACTTTATTTATGCACCTGGAAACTGCTAAATCTACCTAAAAGGTACTGTTTACTTCATATATCTTTATTTTGTTGTGCATTTTTGTTAGCCTGCTGAATGTTAAATTGATCCAATCCATGTTCATTAAAAGTTTTTTGATGAATGCATACAGAATATTTATACTGAGAGGAAAAATAATAGCAGTATAGCAATAATAGCCAACTGAGAACATAATTTGACTGCACATATGATTTTATGTGTTTCTTTATTTGCTAATGAGAGAAATGAGTGCCATTTAAAAAAAAAATAAAGCATGGTTATATGCGCCATGTTAAGGAATTCTTTAACATTGTATTTTCTGGCATTTATTATACCAATAAATCTTAACCTCAAATATTCAGATATAACGACTGTATGTGTGAACATTTTTAAAAGACATGAATTCCACAGTGGAGATATCACCTAAAGAGCCCAGCCTACTCCTCCACATTTCTCGGCTGAATACCACACTAAGTGTGAACTCCAACACACAACAGACCTTCGTGTTCGTGATCTCTCCTTTAGTCCACCGCTAATCTCCAGAAACAAGATGTGTATGATTCAGACAGAGCACAGAGATGTTCCTGTGTGCTTCAGCAATTTAGATTCAGCTAACTATACAATGAGCGAACAGCAGTGATGTATGTCTCAAGACCACTTTTACGTGGTCTCGGTCTTGTCACGGCCTTGACGGTCCTTGGACTTGGTCTCGGACCTCTCGGTCTTGACTAAGTCTTGCTGTCTCAGACCAACATAGTGGTCGGGGGATTCAGCGATACAATACTACAATATCCACAACGGATTGAAGCACGCGTCCCGAGTGAATACAGTGCGGTGTGCGCGAGCCACACGAGAAAACACCGTATCCGTGCCACTGATTGCAGCAGCAACGAGCACTTTGAACACTTGATTTTAACACATATCATGTACAGCTTTTGAAGAATTAATATTTAGTAAAACACATCAGTGACATGATGGGTTTTAACTTCATTCAGGAGATTTTTTTTTGGGGTAACTGCACAACTGACAGATGATGTGTCACCGCCAACGGTGTGTGTGTGTGTGTAACCATAGCGTTGTTGTGCCGCTTGATTAATTTTTTTCTGAATTCTTTGAACAAAAGTTCAAAAGAACATTATTTCTCTGAAATAAAAATATTTTGTACCATTATAGGCCTAAATGTTTTACTGCCACTTTAGATTAATTTAATTTAACTTGTACTTGCTGAATAAAAGTTTTTTTTATATATATATATAAATACACACACACTAACCCCAAACTTTGGACATTATTGTATATCCTTCGTGTACTGGGTGATTATCTCAGAATTTTTGCAATGTCTTAAAAGGATTTCTAAAAATATTTGAAATAATTTTAACAGGCTATTTATCATAAATAGTTTGCTGTATACATTTATGTTTTTCTATAACGCCTGTATTAAAATCAATTGAGTCGAGTTTCCTGCGCATTTCATGAAAGCCTTAGGTGTTACTAATTAGTCATGTATGAGTTTTTAATTACTGTTAGGATGCTGCCTCATAAGGCAGTAAGAAGAGACTGGGAGTATTAGCTAGATGAAATCACCATCATTTATTGAATAAAAACCCATTGCGTACAATTTCAGGAAGGCATTACGCAATCATAAATTGTCTGTTCTGAATTCTAGCGCGCTCTCAGTTCAATAAGCCACACAGAGCAGCACTGATATCTGAATCAGCTTTTATTCTTCAGCAGTGTATTGTTGTTAGCTCTCTTGTTATCTAGTTTTGCATGTTGAAAAGAATCCAGCAGTCCAATAAACAACAGAAGACTTTGTTCTAGAGAGTTCTCTCTCTCGCTCATTCTCTCTCTCTCTCTCTTTCATTCATCCTCCATCTCTCTCCTGTCCAGACACCCTGCTGGTATCTCTTGTTCATACACTTTCACTCTCTGTGTGGTGAACAAAAGCTTTACTTTTGTTCAGTGCTCAATTGTGGCAGGTCCTTCTCCTGCAGACTCGGGGTTCATTTTGAGCAGTTTATTTTGTTAAAAATAGACAGATAAAGTCGGAATTGCTGCCACTTTCACATACATTAATCAGCTCACATATTCAACACAAACCCTGATTGATCAGAGAGGGGGGTAAGAGATTAAATGGCTCAAAATGATTACGTGATTCCTGGAGGCTTTCCTGTAGCTCAAACAGTAGAGCATTGGCGCTTGCAACGCCAAGGTCATGGGTTCGTTTTCCAGGGAACTGATAAGAATGTAAATGTGTACTTGAAATGCAATATAAGTTGCTTTGGATAAAAGCGTCTGCCAAATGCATAAATGTAAATGGATTCTGCCCAATGAAAGATACTTTGAGAGGAAACAGGAAGAGTATATGGACAGGACAGGACAACGGTTTCCATAGAGACACAAATGTTCTGTCTGTCCTGTGGAGTTCAGTCTATCAGGGCTGGCAATTGACTATATAAAACAACCTGTTACACAAACTACAACACTACAAATTTGGGTTATGAAGAAAAACATTAAAATCCCAGCTTATTTGCTTTGTGTGTCTAAAACCTTCAGCAGAAATAAAGTAAAGATTTAAGTGCAATCCTTAATGTGTTTAAATTTATGAGAATCATCCTCGTGTGAGGGACTCCATCCTAAAATTTAAAAGGCAGCTATAAACAACACATTAAATGAATATTATAAATCTAAAGATTAGTTTCTATTAAAGTTACTTATTATATTTTTTCTACTATAGTAATATTATTTATTTGTTTAAATTTAATCTAATTAAATAGATTAATAACTAATGTAAAATATTTTATTCATTTATAAATAATCATTTTTTATTGTAATATTTAATTAAAAACATTATCAATATTTCAACATTATCAATGTTGAAAACCGAACAGTAAGTTGTGCAGCTTAATATTTTTATGGAAACTGTTACATTTCTTTCTTTTTTTAAGGATAATTAGAAAGTTCGAAAGAACAGCATTTAGGCTATTTGAACAAGAAATAACTTAATTATTTTATCTATTTATTTTCAAATGCCTTTGATGTCACTTTTGATCAATTTAATCCATCCTTGACAAATAAAGATATTCATAAAAATATCTTACTCAACGTTTAGATAACTTTTGATACAAAAATTAGAAATAAGAAGATTAATATAATTTATGTATGCCTTCTTGTTCTCTTGATATCACAGATAAAATATCAAAGGAATCCTGTGTGAATGATCATGATTGGGGAATGACAGAAGAAACAGAAATCCAGTGATAGGAAATGTAATGATTAAAATAAATAAATAAATAAAAACATCTTAAGTCATATCTTGTCTGCAAACATCAGGATATTAGAGGGCCTGAAATCATTATGGCTCTGTTTTTTTTTTAAAGACAAAACCATTCAAATTTTGAAGGAAGTCAAATAAATTATTAAATCAGGCCACAAACAGAGGATAGTGTCAGTCCAATCAGTTTTCTTGTTGCAGTACCAGTAATGGCCTGCAGGTCACCACAGCTGTGGATTCCCCAGGGTGTGTTCTCTACTCATCTGATTCATTCATCACAACAGAGAGCAAACAGACTTTCCACACACAAGACCAATTGTTGGTATTAATGAAGGATGTAGAGAGACCAATCACTCAAAAGGACGCCTGCCATTAATGTCCTTACAGAATTTTATTTAAAAGAATCTAAATTTAATGTTATAAACCAACTCCAGGTGCTTTTCATTCTAATAAAAAAAAAACACATTAAAGGTTCTCTAAGCGATGTGGGGCCA